ACGGTTCCAGTCCTGGTCAGGGCACATGATGCCTGGAGTTGCCGGCTTGATCCCCAGTGTGGAGCATGCAGGAGGCAGCCAATCAATGATTTTTTCTCATCATTGATGTTTCTATTTCTCTTACCCGCTCCCTTCCTCTCTGAAATTAATAACAATGTATTTTTTAAAAATAAATACTTCTTGAGGGTTTGATATGAGCCCAGGCAAAGATTCCTCTCCTCAAGTAATATTAAGTAATATTATGAGACAACTACAAAATGCTGTGGAAGCACATTAAGCACACCTGAGACTTTCCAATAGGCCAGGGGTTTATCAGGCTACTTAGGAGAAGTGATGTCTAAGCCAACCTGAAAAATGATTAAGTAGGAGTCAATGTCCCTACTATGTGCCCCAGAGGTCTCTACACCCTCTGCATAACATTTATCACATCATGAAAATCCACTTATGGGAAGGTTAATTTCTATCTTGTTAGCATCTAAAGAATACTTGCCAAAGAGGAGCATTGAATATTTATAATATTATGAAATAATTGAAATAATATGGACCTCAGAGTTAGACTGACCTAACCAGTGTTGATATTCAAAACATGTAGCAATGAGGATGGCTTTATCAATTGAATAACTGTACTTCTGGATTTAAATTCTGGCTCCATTTCCTACGATATTTTTAAGTGAAGGCAAGCCAGTTAAATGATCTGAACATAATTTTATCATGTGTACATGATGAAGGTAATAATAATTTATGGGATGAAATTTTAATGATGAAACAGCATATGAAAAAAACCCATTTCAGTGCCTGGTACACTAAAGACCAATAATAAATGTTTTACTTCATTGCTAGGCTGCTTTAAAGTGAGTTATAGTTGTAGTTACATTAAAAAATTAAAATATGCAGAAACCAATGCAAAATGAAAGCACTCTAATTATTTTGTCTTACCTTCATGATTTTTCTCCAGTGCACAACTTAATTTGTATTTTAAGCTTTGAAATGCATTTATCCTTAATCTTCTCTATGATATAAATTTAACATGGACTGTTCATTCATTTATCTAATTAACAGTGCCTTTATGTCAACTGTAGACCATATTTAGTGATTCAACAGAAATTTATTAAGAGCCTATTATCAGTGCAAAATCATATTTATCTTTATCATTCAGAGATTAGTTTATGCAGATATTGCTGGATAGCTTATAGCTTAATAAATGCTCCAAGATGCTTAATAAATATTTTTTTTGTTTTAACAATGTAGATAACTGATGGTTTTCTTCTAATATCAGCAATCAAATTAGAATGAAAAGAAACAATTCATTTCCATACTGAAAGGCTGATATCTTTTGCAGCAACTATATTCTTCTGCTTTACAATTTTTCAAGGGAAACATTTATAATTAGAAATCGGATTAACTGTGCTAAATGCCAACTTCAAAACTTAGTAATCAATCTATATATTTTAAGTCTATATCAGATGGTTGTGAGTATCCAGCTTACTCAGTATATTGGAAATAACTGATCCAATAAAGATAATTAAAATTAAGCTCTTCAGACTGTCAACCAAATGTAATAGTGCCATACGCGGTCTAGAATTATATCCATAGGTTGAACAAGGAGAGTATTAATTTCAGGCTGGCTTAGTTATTTCTTCCTTACATGTGGCCATTCTCAATTGACCTTTATGTAAGCTGCTAGAGGCCCGGTACACAAAAAATTGTGCACTCGGGGGGCTTCGGGGGGGGGGGGGC